GAAAAAGACAGCCGAGCCACGTGGCATGCCTTTACCCCCCCTTCCCTCAAATGGTGCACCGATCCCCCTTTCCCCTGATCCCAACTCCCCACAATGGCTGCACTTGTCCCCACTAACGGCCGCTCTTCTCATTTGCCCTGACCTCAAATCCCCGACTGCTACACCCATCTTCCTTTTCCCTTGGCCCACCTCCCCCACGGCTTCCTCTCCCTCCCCTCTGCGTTACAATCCCTGGTCATCCACCATCATCATGTCCCACCGTCATGTCCAGCTCCACTTGTTCGCGATGTTGTCCTGTCTATGCTCCCTTCCCAAATCAGAGTCAGGAAGTAGAGAGAAACGAAACCACCATTTCCTGCTCCTCCCCTTCCCAATCGCTCCCCTCCCCCACACACACGCACACGAAATAAGAAACGAAAAAAGGAGAAAATAAACAAAACGATCACCATGTGGGGTGTCTTTAAGACCCCCCCCTCCCCCCCCCGTGTTCCCCCAAACCCTCCCCACGCGGCGAAGCATGGGTCCCTTTACCCACTCTCTTCCCTCAATTGATGGACGCGCCCTCCTTCCCGTGTTTCGATAATCTTGTTGATGTCATTATCAACTTACCTTGTCCTCGTCAATCATGTCCCTTATCTTTCGTCTTCCTCAGCATCTTCAACGTCGTCTTCATCAGAAAGCGTGGTAATGGTGGGGTGCTCTCTCTCTCTCTCTCTCTCTCTCTCTCTCTCTCTCTCTCTCTCTCTCTCTCTCTATATCTATCTATCTATCTATCTATCTATCTATCTATCTCTTGTGTGCGTGTGTGAGCATAGTGTGTGCGTGTGTCGCCATGTTCGCTGTAGACAACTCCACCAAAGGAAGCAGATGCGTGCCAGACTGTTTCGTCGAACTTTCACCGACTCATCAGGAGGTTGAACCCCGACATTCTGCTGTCTGCCAGAACGGAGGTGAGCAGAAGATGAGAGGAGATGGCGGGAGGAGGCGGACGGGAGGTGGGCGGATGCCGAGGGGAGATTGGCGATCCCAATGGCGAGAGGCACCTGGGCGGAGGCGGACAGGAGGTTGGCGCTGGGAGTGGGGAGGTGGGCGCGCACCGTTTTTTTTTTTTAAGGCGGGCAGAGGCATGGCCGATGTGCGGGCAGCGGAACAGAGGCCGGGGCGGAGAGGAGGAGAAGTGGGCGTAGGCAGAGAGGAGATGGCGAGAGGAGGCGGACGGGAAGTGGCGGTGGCAAAGAGGCGATGGCGGGAGGAGATGACGGGAGGTGGCAGAGGTGGAGAAGTGGCGGAGGCGGGAGGAAAGCAAGAGAGGAGATGGCAGGAGGAGGCGGACGGGAGGTGGCGGAGGCGGAGAGGTGATGGCGGGAGGAGATGACGGCAAGTGGCGGACGGGAGGTGGCGGAGGCGGAGGAGAGGCGGACGGGAGGTGGCAGAGGTGGAGAAGTGGCGGAGGCGGGGAGGAAACCGAGAGAGGAGATGGCGAGGAGGAGATGACGGGAAGCGGCGGAGGCGGAGAGGTGATCACGGGAGGAGGCGGACGGGAGGTGGCGGACGCGGAGGAGAAGTGGCAGAGGAAGGGAGGAAAGCGATGGCGGGAGGATGACGGGAGGTGGCGGCCCTGCAACGGACCAATGGCCAGCAGGTACCCGGGCGATTCTTTTACAGCAGGCCCTTTTTTTCATCGGGCGCAACGATCCAGGCCGCGAGCGGTCCTACCGGGCCCCTATCGGCCCGACGGTCTTAGGGTCTGATCCCACCACTACCCTACAGCCCAGTTACAGTGTAGTTTTCGGATCCCACCACTTTCTTTTTTTTTTTTTTTTTATAAGGTGGCCTTGAGGTATTATCATCGGACTAACCAGCCCAGGTAAATTCAATCTTGTGTCTAATCTGACAACGGTGGCCTCTTCAGCCCAGGGTGGCCTGATAGCCTTCAGGGATCCCCCACTGGGGGGCACCGGCCAGGGGACAGCCGGTAGCAGAGGGACCGAGCATCATCTGAGTGGCCAGTCGCTGTGCCTCCCTGAGTTCGTCGCGGCCGCCGAAATATTTTGCCATACTTTCGTTTGGGTGTGTCGTGGCAGCACGTCCGCTAAGGGTGCAAGCGTAGTTACTATTTTTTTATTTTTTTATTTTATTTTTTTCCTTCCTAAACACTTTAGTTCATTCAAATTGCGAAAGAGAGGCCGGGGACCTCACAATTCAACTCGGGATATCTGACAGCATCAGCCAGCTTAGCTTACAGGCAATTGCCTGCGGGACCCACAATCTAACAAGTCCGAGTTCCTATTTAACTACCCCACTTTGCCTAGCAATTCGCAGCTCTGAGATATTGTAAGCCTGTCTGTGGACAGCACTGTGTGAGCGTCTGCCCCTACTTCCCCTTGTTGTAGATTCCTTCCGATAATTTTGTAAGCTGGAGATAACCTACGTCTGGGACTATTTCGGCCCAGAGGACTAAGTCCAGGCCCTACCCAGGCACTCCCCTAGTGGCCTACAGCGGCCCTGATAATCGAGTGCCCTGATTATACCTGTGTCTACTACTACAGTAACCTATCTGCAACGCCTACTCTCCTATTGTACTGTCCACTTCCGCGAGCCACTTGGACAACACCAAGCCTTTGTTTGAATTAATCGTGGGCAGCCGATGGTTTATTGTCCAAGTGCGCAGGAACCATCGGATCTGTCTCAAGCCTCTTCTACCCACCTTGGCCTTCCTTCTCCAGTCCACACGGATAGCCTGCCTCAGTCCCTTTTTTATTGCTCCCTTGATCTCCTTGTCCGAGAACGGTTTCCTTTGGAAGCGGGATCTGTTGCGGTCTGCCCATATGACCTGACAGATAAGACCTCTTACCACGTGTGCTACGTAACCCCATCCTCTGCTCCCTGACAACTGAGCCGGGAGAAAGCCCAGCAGAACCCACTCTTCGTTCCACTCTACCCCTTGCCCTCCGATCTCTTTCCAGTGAAGGTTCCACCATTGCCATACCCGTTTAGATGCTGGACACTCCCACCAGAGGTGTCTGGTGGACTCAAAGGGCCATTTGCATCTCGTGCATCCAAGACTTACCTCCATTCCTTTGCTTCTCAGCCAAACAGCTGACGGAGTTACCATGAGTGAGAGCAACCACAGAATGTCAACCTATTTCCCATTCGGCAGTGTACATAGCGTTTTCCACAGCGATTCGAACTTCGGGGCCGCATCCGATAAGTCAACCCCCCAGACAGCCTGCCAACGAGGGATTGTTGTCTGGGCTAACGACTTCAGTTGGCCCTTCGACTGCTGATAGCCCTGAGTTACCGTGTAGTTCTGCAGCAAGACCTCCGACCCACCTGTGTCCCTGGCTGACCAACTCCAGGCTGACGGGTCGATACAAAGACGGCGTGGTGGAACCCTCCCCACCCACGTTAAGTAGTGTCTTGCAGGACCGCTGCATTTTGTCTCTACTACCCTCGCCTGGGGAGGGTTGTCCCATATCCTTACTGTCTCCTCTTCCGCCCTAGACAGTATGTTGGCCGTGTCTTCGCATACCCATTTTTCCACCCGTCTGAAGCCGCTGGGGAGAATCTCAGTGACCTTCCACAGAGTGTTGTTGTTTGAGTCTGAGTTTGGTGCGTACCACGTGCCTGGGGGGTCCAACCCCTTCGGTCCCAGTAACAGTTGCCACTCTCGGGAGATCGCTTCTAAGATGCTATTCCAGTGGGCCTCCACTTGCTGCAGGCTTCTAAGCACCATTTTTATCTCAGACAGTGGTTTCCAACTTCCTGTCAGTGTGGATAAGATGTCCTTGATGCGGACTACTCCTCTCTTGACCCAAGACTGCCCAAATGTACATGCGGACCCATCCGCCCTGAAGGGGGCCCCATTCTAATTCCGGATCTCTGGGTTATCGAACAGCAGTTGAAGAAGCACTTCCTCCTTTGCGGAGGGAGGTTGTTGTACATCCAGGGCCACCTTGTTCCAAGCTCTCCTGATTGCTTCCCAGAAACAGGATTTCGGTTTCCTCTTTCTGAATGATGACATGAACAAACAGGCCCATGCGTCCTTGGGTCTGGCCAAATCCCATTCTTTCGCTAGTATGTGTTCCGCTAGTATCACCCAGTGCTYGCTTGGGCCCATCGTGGCCACCTTAGCTACCCAACCTCTAAGTTGTGCCTGGTTTCTTCTTGCTGGGTCCATGAGACCCAGGCCTCCTTCTGCCCGTGGGAACGACAGCGTGTCCAGGGCTACCTTAGATATGAAGGAGTCGTC